TCTGGAGGTGGAGCCTTGGGAGGTCCCTGGGTTTGGATGAGGGCCTGAGTGCAGGGCCTTCAGATGAGACATCAGAGACCCCCCAGGATGTGAGCCCGAGTGAGATGGTGGCTGTCACCAGGGGGCGACATCACCAGGAACCGACTATGCTGACACCCTCATCTCGGACTTCCAGCCCCAGAACTGTGAGAAGATCGAGTTCCAGTGTTTAAGCTGCTCAGTCCATGGTATTTCGTTAGGGCGCCTGAGCCCAGACACTGCCTGCTATGGGTTGAACTGTGCCCCCCAAATATTCGATACTGAAGTCCTAACCCATGATATAATTATTACAGTGGGTTCACAGCAGCCTGGCCCCAACCCAATAAAGCAGGTGTCCTTAAGAGGGAGACCTGAACACAGGCGGGCACACGGGGAGAACGATGTGAAGACTGGAGCTACAACGCTGCCCGGCAGAAGCGAGGGGAGACGGGAGCACGGCCTTCCCCAGAGCGCCAGCGCCAGGGCAGCAGGCCCGCCCACACCCGGAGCTCAGACTCTGGCCTCAGGACTGGAGAAAACACGTTTCTGTTGCTTAAGCCGCTTGTTTGTGGCACTTTTTCGTGGTGGCCCTTGCAGACGAATGCATAAATCTTTAACACCAGCTCTCATGAAATAGTCTATTGGCCATCAAACACTTCCATGTTCCAGCCCTGCACAGACAACTAAATAGAAACTACGGGAGGAAGCGAGTGTGGCCTAGTTCCTCCCTGGACATGATCCCTGCTCCTCTGAGACATCAACTGCCTGAGTACCAGGATCCCCAAGAGGGGCCACCTCGGGCCACCCGCTCACCGGGGGGCTGGAAGAGCGTCTCCCAGAGCCGCTCCGTCTCCTCCTCGGACAGGTAGATGGGGAAGGTGGCGCAGTCCAGCAGCAGGTGGCAGGCGGCGGCAAAGGCCTCCCTGCAGGCCTCGCTGGAGCCGCCCAGGTCAGGGACCACCTGGTCCACGGCCCAGTCTCCCTTTGTCTGGCCAGGGCTGCTGGGCAGAGGTGATGGCGGCTCCACATTTTTGGTCTTAAATGGAGACCCTCGAACTGTGAACCAGTCTGAGAGCATCTGCTTAAACTGGGGCACGCTGATGGGCCTGGCATCCCACGAGTTCTTCCTGCCGTGGGGGCTGGGCTCTGGGCCCCGCGGCTCGCCCCCGTCCCGCTGGCCTGTGGGCTCCGCGGCCCTGCTTTCCTCTCCGGACGCCGTCAGCTGGACCCCAAAGATGTTCTTGTGCGCAAAGTTGTCAATCAGCTCTTGGAGGCAAAAGAACGTCCTCTGCATACTCCCGCCCGTCTTCCAGACGTCGTCTCTTTCCGGGGAGACTCTGGGGACCCGCAGGTGCTCCGAGAGCTCTGGCGACGACGCACTGAGCCCGATCCCGCTGTCCTCAGACTTCAGTGCAGGAAATGAAGCATCTTCATCACCTGCGATTACAGCCTTTGTGTCTAAAATTAGGTCACTGTTTTCACCTTTTACTGGACTCTGCAAAAAATGGAAGTTTATAATGTGCATCTTGTAAGACCAGGGGGTTCGACTATCAGCCGAATTAGGCAAACCGTAAATGTACTCTTTCTGGTTTTAAAATCAGAATTCTCTACACCAAGAGGACCCCTGTGCACCGTGTATAACACAGTGAAGACGGCACACAGGCCGGGCAGAGGCGCCAGCCCCAGGAGGGGCAGACAGACCGCCATGCTCTCCGGGTTATTTATTTAGATTCCTCAGCATTAAAAGAAAAAATGTAGTTAATGCCCCAACCGGTTTGGCTCAGTGGATAAAGCGTCGGCCTGCGGACTCAAGGGTCCCAGTTTCGATTCCAGTCAAGGGCATGTACCCTGGTTGCGGGCACATCCCCAGTAAGAGGTGTGCAGGAGGCAGCCGATCAGTGTTTCTCTCTCATCGATGTTTCTAACTCTCTATCCCTCTCCCTTCCTCTCTGTAAAAAATCAATAAAATATATTTTTAAAAAAACGTAGTTAAAAAGAGTTTGACAGATTTAAAAATATGAATGATGAAATTGGGCTGAGGGTAAAATAAAGACATGAATAAATAAAATAAGAGGAGAAAGCTAGAATAAAGTTTTCATACACACGTACACATAACACATATAAACATATCCACACATATGTATGTGTATAGTAAGTCCTCACTTAATGTCAATAGATTTTGCAACTTTAAACAAAATGACGTAAAAAGAAAGCGATTTATCAGAGACTAACTGATATAAACAGGAGTCAAGTTCCCATAGCATCTCATTGTTATAACAAAATGATGCCGTTCAAAGACCTGCTGTGTTTGTGTGGCTTTTCCAGAGGAATGAAACATCAACCTTCAATGAACCAACCTCTTTTCTTATACTGTTACTTAGGTAATACTACATTAAGTTTAAAATTCCTCAGCATATAACCTATGGTGCTTTCTAGGGAAGACTGAAATTGGTAGACTGCACATACTTAAATTTATATCTTAAGTCATTTTTAGAACATTTTTCTCCAACAGCTAGAGCAGAGGCTCTGCCCCAGTTTAAGCAGATGATCTGCAATAACTTTTGGGGAAAATAAGGACTAACTTTGCAACCGAGGCAGCAGTCGGTAACTGGTCTGTGGGCTGAGACTCCAGTCCCTCACACATCCTGTGGGCAAGGGGAGGGGGTTACCATCCATGCTAAGAACTTTCACAGAGTGAGGATTTGAGAAGTGTATTATAGATGTTACTTACAGATCGTCCGGTCCTCACACCTATGCTAACCGACCCTGAATTACTTTCTGCTCCCAGGAAGGCGCAAGCTCCTTCCAGCTCAGAGGACCACTTTGGCCGCTCCTGGCACGTACCGAGTTTCCGCTCATGGCCTCCGCATCCAGGTAGGAAGGCGGCATCTGGACCTTGCTGAGCACCTTGAAACACGTCTTCAGGGCGAGCGTGAGTTCGGGCAAGCTCAAAGCCTCCACGTTCTCGGCCAGAGGCTGCACCAGGCAGGCGAGCACCTGCGGGAGGTACTGGGTCTGCACCTCAGAGTACAGTTCCTGGGAAGCAGACACGGGTTAATGAACGTGGTTCGGCTTAAATCAAGGAAAAAAATGCACCTCATGACGCTTCTTAGTTCCGTTTTTTTCCGAGCATAAGGAAGCTTCATGTTAACTCCCAAATCAGGAAACAAAACAAAGTTTCTCTCTTATCTGGACAAATCATGGACTCTGTCTCCTCCTCTCAAGTGGCTTTCCCCTTTCTAGTAGGAAACCACTGCCACATTTATTTCGACATCGAGGCAACTAGCTTTCTTTGGGGAAACTGGCCCACTACAGACGTTTAAGTAGGAAATCATTCACTCCCACTCCTAAATACAGCATGACGCCCAGTTCACCATCGCTTACATGACGTCAGCTCAGCCCCCTTAAAGATGGCTCCAACGTTACAACCCCTTTAAAATAAGACATAAAATGTAGCAGGTTTGTTAAACAGGCCAATAAGACTAATGAAAATGCCATAGAACTCTGGCCGGTGTGGCTCAGTGGTTGGAGCATCGTCCCCTACAACAAAGGGTGGCGGGTTCTACTCCCAGTCAGGGCATATACCCAGGTGGCAGGTTGGATCCCTGGTCGGGGTGTGTGTAGGAGGCAACTGATCGATGTTTCTCTTACATCGCATCGATGTTTCTCTTTCTCTCCGTTCCTCTCTCCAAAAATCAATGTAAGAAATAAAGATAAAAATGTAACAGCAAACGCTGAGCCATCCCTCCCCAGCAAAGCCCTTACCAGGGGAATGACGTCCAGCAGGAACACGAGGAGGGTGCAGAGCTCCGAGACCGTGGGGGCAGGGCTGATGCTCTTCTCCACGGTGGGCCTCGGCTTCGCTGGTCTACGGAAGTCCCAGGAGAGAAAAACAGATCAAGTCTTTCTCCTACAACAATTTCAAACATTTCTTTAATTTTCAATAAAACTACTTATTCTATTTCAAACATAATGAAATGTAGTTTCTATAGTGCCAATCCTTAAGCTTTGGTGCCTAAAACTTCCTAACACAGAGAAGTATCGAGAAGAGTCTTGAGCCCTAGCTGGTTTGGGTCAGTGGATAGAGCATCAGCCCTTGAACTGAAGGGTCCTGGGGTTGATTCTGGTCAAGGTCATATACCTCGGGTGCAGGCTTGATCCTCGACCCTGGTCAGGGCACACGCAGGAGGCAACCAATCGATGTGTCTTCTCTCTCACATCGATGTCTCTCCCCCTCCCTTCCACTCTCTCCAAAAATCAATAAAAAAAATCCTCGGGTGAGGATTAACAATAAAAAATAAAAATAAATAAGTGTTTTGAATCTGCTTGTCTCCAAAACGGGTTCATGTTGATGTGAGTGTCATCAGTTCGGATAAGGGTGGTTCCTACCCACATGGGATCCACACCCAGAGATCTGGAACGCTGTCAACAGCAACCATTCCAGGCTCCCAGCCCAGCCCAGAGGTCTGCTCCAGGGGAGGAGCCTGGCTAGAGCCCGGCACAGGCTGGACACCTGTCCACTCGCTACTCCCCGGAGGTCACCACCACCCCAGATTCTGAGCTGGTGTAATTCACCAGATTCAGAGTGACATGGAGCTGACTACAGTAGCTGAAAAATGAATGCTTTTATCTGACCAGTTAGACACTGATTTCAGTAGCGACTTAAGGAGACTGATGATAAAACACTGAGTCCAGTCACAGAGCCACAGAGTCAAGCTTCCTTCACAGACCAAGCCTCCAGAGGGCTGTGCGAGGAAAGCGGATTTATCAGAGCAACTAGGAAATGGCCGGGGGCGGGAGGGGGGATTGAGGGGGGTTTCTATACTTCGACTTTAATAAATGAAGAGGCTCCAGAATTGTGTGGCAAAGATGAAGGGAACCTTCTTCTTTTTTTAAAAAAAATATATTTTATTGATTTTTTACAGAGAGGAAGGGAGAGGAACAGAGAGTTAGAAACATCGATGAGAGAGAAACATCGATCAGCTGCCTCCTACACACTCCCCACTGGGGATGTGCCTGCAACCAAGGTCCATGCCCTTGACCGGAATCGAACCTGGGACCCTTGAGTCCGCAGGCCGATGCTCTATCTATTGAGCCAAACTGGTCAGGGCGAAGGGAACCTTCTTAATGGCAATGCCTTTTATCTATTATAATCTTAAGTGAATTCTTTCCAATCGTGTACTCAGCAGAAACCACCCATCTTTAGCCCATTCCATGTAATCTGAGCACAATAAGCAGCTATGAAACCATGAAACCCTCTGCTCCTTCCGGAATGCTCATTATCCTGAACTGGACACTCACCTAAAGCAATCCTCAAAACACCTCGTCATGTAGTCCCAGAGAAAGTCTGTGCTGAGGGAAGTGATCAGCAAATTCACCGTTTTAACAATCTCAGAGGCATTTCTGTTTTCTTTTATTGTACTGTAAAGGGAGAGGTATACTTGTAAATATATCTATGACAAGAACACCACGTCTGGAAAACAAATTCACTTTAGCATTCACAACTTATTTCTAGAGACCGACAAACGTGGTTTAAGATAAAAATGCTACTCACTGTCCTTCTATAGGAAAGAGCATGTACAATGCCAGCCTAAACACTCACTATGTCGGCACATTCTCTTAGAAATAAGCTTAAGAGCTTTCGTAAAAAGAAAAAGGGGGGGGGGGGGTGTAGAAAACCAGTTTTAGTCCCACTGTAGGCAATTAGATACTCTACTGTTGAAATAACATGGCACAATCACACAGGGGGGACATCTGGCTGACACTTAAATGTGCATCTTCTGACTCAGAAATTGACTCTAGGGATTTACCCCACACAAAGCTTTGCACACAGGATACATTGCAAGGTCATTAAAAATACTGAAAAGCGCCTCAGTGGTTGATCATCGGCCTAGGAACCAGGAGATCACGGTTTGATATCTTCGAGTACTGTTATATTCTACAATGGGCATGTACTGTTTTCACATTCAGAAAAACAATAAACTACTCGGGGAAAAATAAAGCAAACGCTAAGAATTATTGGTACACTGACAATTAAAAAACCAGAAAAATCTTCCAATCGATTTAAATTTTCAATATACCCAGTGCCAATTCAGGCAGAAGGAAATTATATCAAGAGTAAAGTAACAAGAGGTTGACCTATCTTAAAAAGAACAAAAACAGAAGAAAAAAAACAAAACATAGGGCTGATAGATAACTAGACACTTCAGGTCAACATGTCTGCTGTTTCCCAAATCCTCCCCTCCCCGCACCCTCAGGGTCCTGGAGCACGTGGCCTGGGAAGCCCATACCTTGACCCCCAAAACTCCTCATCTCCTGAAGACTCATGTCCCCTGCTCCCCTTCATGGCCTCCCCTTATCAGCCTCCCCGCTGTAAGTCACTGCTGGGTCACCTAGATCCGCCTGCCTCCATTGACCGCTCTTTATACTTGACCAATAAATACGGTCTGTGCTTCCCAGGCTCGGGCAGGGACAAGATGAAACCCCCTTTAGACTCCTCCCGAATTCAGGTCAGTCACTTCCCGTGGACCGACTCATCGTTACGATGACCTAGGCTGCGTCTCCTGTCCCAGATGTGCACAATGTATGGTAAACACAGAGAAGTGAAATCATGGCATTTGGGAGGGAAGAGGAGGGTGAAGTAGGAGGCCCAGCCCAGACCTGGTCAGCAGACTCCCACTCTGCGTGTAGCTAAGCTGGAGCTCGGAGCCCAGCGCGTCTCTGCAGTAGGAATAAAAGGCCCGGATGACTTCCAGAAACAAATCCCCAACCACCTGAGGCCCTGCAATGAAAAGGAAAATGGCCAGAGAAAGGTTAACAACCCACTTGTAAGTCAGTAAATGACACACATGAAACGTATAGAGCAAGCATGTCAAACTCGTGGCATGCGGCTCCCGGCCGTGAGTCTGACATGCTTGGTATAGAGTAATTCTACATACAGATGATTTATACCGTCTAAAATGCTCAGAAACTTACTTAAAGTGTAGCAATGACAGCGTTAGCTGGGGATGAGCACCCCTGAAAATGGCCAATACTTTTGTAGAGCTTACTGCCTGTTGGACACTGCTCTAAGCCTTTTACGTCTATTAACTTATTGAATCCTCACAGCAGCCGCATGACCAGGTGCTAAGTTGATGTCCTGATTACAGGTAAGAGGACTGAGGCGGAGTTCAGGTAACATCAAGCCAGATTCTGCTGGGTGGAGTAGGGCGCATGCATAATGTTTTGTTTTGTTTTCCTTGTCCTGAGCTCTCTTGTATTTTTAAAAATTTTTACTGAATTTATTTGGTGACATTGGTTAAGTATGCGCAATGTTTTATTTAAAAAAACAACATTTTTTAAAATTGATTTCAGAGAGGGAGAGGAAGAGAGAGAAATATCAATTGAGAGAATCATTGATGGGCTGCCTCCTGCATGTGCCCTACTGGGGATCGAGCCCGCAACCCAGTCATGTGCCCTGACCGAAATAGAACCCTGACCTCCTGGTTCATAGGTCGATGCTCAACCACTGAGCCCTGCTGGCCAGCCCCTTTCTTGAAAATAAAACCGAAGCTCATCTGAAGTCTGACGTTTGATGAAGACGTGTTCTTACAAAGTCGGCACTGTGAGTGCTCAGCAGGCACCCACGCGGCCACGCAAACAGGAGCTCAAAGGCTCTTCCTAACACAAATGTTCAAACCTCCGTGTGAAGCTTTTAAGTGGTGCCCAGACAGGATACCGGAACCCCGTAACATGAGTAACGTACTTCAAGATTCTGAAATTCCAAAGGTTAACTTCTATTTGAAGGGAGTGCTGACTTCCTCTCGCCGTGTTTAATTCCTGTTTCTAACAGTACCTATTTCCGGCTTGTCCAGCAGGCTGGTGAGGATGCGGAAGGGCCTCAGGTACGCGGCGTGGCGTTCCTCTGCATCCGCGTCTGAGAACTCCTGGTGCAGCAGCTCAGCCAGACCCTGTGTTTTTTAAAGCCACATGTGAGGATACTGTATACCGTGGCGCAGGACATGGCTGGCGGTTCTCTGGGACAGAAAGGAAACCGGGTGTGCAGCACCGAGGACACAAATGCTCCCGACCGGGTGCCAGCAACATGCCCGATGCCTACTCTGAGGTCCCGCAGAGAACTATTCTGAAGCGCATGATCAGGAATGGGGGTCGACTTCCCAGAAATGCTCCTTTACCTCAACCAGAAGGTCCTTGGAATATTTTTCAAAAAAATATGAGGACTGGTCTTGGTAAGAACTTGAGGTTTCGGATTCTGGCATGACAGTATTTCCTTTGATGTCTGAACCTGTGAAGAAACAAGCGTCATGAGCTGTGAAGAGATCTGCACACAAAGAGCATCAGCCTGTGCAAAGGTCTCATGCTCCGATATTTCTAAAAATAAAATTCCTCCGACAGAACACAAACCAGATCCCCAAGACAAGGCACACGACCACCCTCCCGACGGTGGAGAGCTAAGGGTCGGACAGACAGAATTCCATCTCAGTGGGCATCAATTCGGTTTGTCCCACGAATTCAGCCCGATTGTGTTTGCCAGGAGTGATTACCAGGGTCTAATGGAGTAAGTATCATTTTTTAAAACCAGTGTTTATTTGGACACCATCACGTGACATCAAGGCATTCTCGTCTGTGTGTCCTTCTGAACCCTGGGCAGGTCTGGGAGGTCCGCAGAGCGAGGAGCAGCGTCCTCGTGGGATAATCAAAGAACCTGAGGCTCCTGGGGCTGCGGCAGGACACAGCGGGACCAGCCTCACTAGAGGGAGGGATGCACTGAACAAAACCATCCTTTTGCTAAAAATGCTTAAAGATTCACAGTGAAATCCTTCACAAGCTTCCACGCAATGACTTCTGAGACTTTCACAACCAGGGGGGAGGGAAGGAAGGGTCAGGGGGCTTTCTGACTGTGGTGTGGTAAGGTCTGTGTGTTGGGGGTTAATAACTACTCTGTATGATACCATGTTGGTGGATACATGTCATCAGATATTTGTCCAAACCCACCGCATGTACTACACCAAAAGCGAGCCTAATGGGTGCTACGGACTCTGGGAGATGACACATGCCACCATAGGCTCATCAACAGTAACAGATGTACCTCCCTGGGGGGCACGCTGACGATGGGGAGGTGGTGCCTGGTGGGAACAGGGGGTGTATGGGAAGCCTCTGTCCCTTCCTCCTAATTTTGCTGGGAGCCTAAAACTGCTCAAGAAAAATGAAGTCTTTAAAATCATGAGCATCTCGGCCTGTGACTTCCTGGAGCCCGTCCCTGTGAACTGCCGGCAACAGTCAAGGGCTCCTTTCCTACAGCTCACAGGCTGCGAGGCACAGCAGCACCGCCCTGGGTGCGCACACGCTCCGTTATCCAGGCGTCTCCCGAACATCTCAGGCCACACGCACTCCCATCTGCGCGGAACCGCCTTTCACACGCAGTCCATGTCTGTGGGTTTTCTCATAGCCTCGCCCTGTGGAACTTCTCCGTAGCAACTAGCCTCTACTTGGATAAGGTTTAGCAGCAGTTTTCGTGGTATTCCAAGCTTTTTAAAGGGGAATTCGGTTCGCAGTTTTAAAATCTCATGTGTTATCTCCCTGTTTTTAAAGTAACAGCTACCAACTAGGCAGAGTGCGGTGGGGATGGCAGGACCCAGGCGCCCAGGGCCACAGGCACCGGGTTATGTCTCCGCACGGGAGGCCTCAGACATGTGCCAGCAGATGGAATCTCTGCCACCAGCCCGCCCGGGAGGTTTCCCTGTACTTCCGGTTGCTGTGTGCGTCGCAGTACCTAGCAGCCACGCGTACAGCCGTCTGTTTAGAGACATGTCTCTCCGCAGCAGGGTCTGGGCGGCGGCGGCCAGGATGCGCACGACGTCGGGTCTGAGCAGGGGGATGGCTCTCTCCTCGGAATCCTAGCAGGACAGGGAGACGGTCAGGTCAGTGACTGACCTCCTGGCACTCGGCCCTTCCACTGGTCTCCAGAGCTTCCTCCTAATAGGCAGTTCTCCAGGAGCCCGGGGACAGCAGCTGCTACGTGATCAGCATCCTCAAAAATGTGAACAAGGACCTTTCAGAGGCTGAGAGCCAATGGCGATCACGGAGCAGCTGCTCACCTCCCGAGACCAACACTGAGGTTGACCCTGCCCACCGCCTCCTCGGAAATACCAGGGACCCCTCCCTCATAACACCGACTCACCAGACAGGTGAACAGCGGGAAGAAGAAGAGAACGATTTCCAGAGTATTTCTTTGCACCAGAACATTGGAGTCCAACAGTGATGCGCACAAAGCCTTCACCTATAAACGATACACGATACAGATGTTTCATTCCCAAGACGTTTAATGTCATTTGCAGGCTACTCTTTGGTCACAGAAAGGAAAGTAACTTTCCCGGGTACTCGAAGCTGCCCTGTTAAAGCATGAGGGGCAGAACAACAGGTGTAGACATGGTAAACCTGGGTTCCAGCTCTAGACGCTGGGGGCTGTGAGGTCGGGAGGCCGGTCAACTGCAGCCCTCGCCTGCTCGTCTCAGAGCCAGAGGGCTTTGGACCTCATGGTCAGGTTCTGAGACCTCAAATTCTACGATTCCAGAAAGGAATGTCTTTAGGTTCCAATAGACACTTTTGGCTAAACTCAAACTCCAAAGACATTGTGTCCAATGGTCTCCATACCCATTCAGTACCTGTTTCGAGCGTCTTTTCTGAGCACAGAAGGTATAGCATAGTTGCAGAGTGGATGATCAGAGTATAAGACAAATGTCAATAAAAAGCTAGGAGAATTCAGCAGAAGAGAGGGAGAGACCTTTATTCTGGAAAAACCAGGAAGCTTTGTGGGAAAGCTCACGGGAAGCTCCCAGGACAGGAAGCATCTCCATGGAGACCCCTGGAGAAGAGGGGCGGGCAGCGAGTGCAGGAGGGGACCCCGGGAGCAAACACAGCATCCCACCCAGTTTCCAGGCCGGGCTGGGTGGTGGCTCTGGGAGTGGGGGTGCCGGAAGGGGAGAGTGAGGTATTTGGTGGGTTGGGAGCAGACTGTTAAGAACACTCTAGAGTTTAGACTTTGGGCAACAGAAGCCAGATATTTTTCACACAGTGTAGACATGAGCAAAGCTATGCAAACCTCTTAGTAATGGAAAGGGAGGGGAAGGGTAGGGAATTGGAAGGAGAAACACCAGTTAGAAGTTATGCTGTGGTCCGGAAGCAAGACTGCGGAAGTTGGAGCAGGACCGTGAACATGGAGAGAGACAGACAGAAGCGGTACCAATGGGCAGGAGAGAAGGGGACGTATTTATGAGGCTCTCCGGGTGCTAAGCACAGTGGAGGGCGTGTCATCAGTCTCTTCACTGAACCCTCAGAGGGCCCGTGAGGAAGACCTATTATCCCCATGCTGCAAAGAGGAAGGGACTCAGGGTAAGTCAGTCACACCAAGGTGCTGCCTTTCTCACAGCTGAATTCCATTTCCAACGTTTTCAGTTCCAAGCGTGGGGCACCACTAGGTGGCGCTAGACAGCAGGCCATTAAACACTCAGGTGCGTTTGGGAAAAGAGGCCAAGCCCTGGGAAGTTCCTGTGTTTTAAGGTCACGAGAAGGCATGTCCCAGCCAGGGAAGAGAGCTGTCCTCGAAGGGGAGGGGATGGGCACCAGAGGAACCCCGACAGTCTAGGTTAGAGAGCAGCCAGAGATGTGGCTGGGGTGGGACCCAGGCGGGGGCCAGAGGAGGAGCCTCCCGGGCGGGCAGTGGGCAGTGGGACGCAGGCAGAGGAGCGAGCAGGGTTTTATACAGCGGCAGTCTGTGCAAGGCTCTCGGGGACTTCACCGCTAACAATCTGCTGAAGAGCAGGGCCTCCTGCAGGGCCCCTCGCCTAAGAGCAACACGCGTCCGAATATACACACTGCAATGCATGTGTTAAAAACAAGCACCGCCATCCTGGGGTTCCTTGCACCTGAGGACACCCCCACCTCGTCTGGCTCAGCTGCTCATCCTTACACACACTTGGACTCCACTGACGTCCCTTTGTGGCCCCAATGACAGCCCGGGACTGCGTGCCCAGCGGCCGCCACCCCCAGGGAGAAGCCAGCACCCACCGTGAGCTGGTGATCCGTCCCCAGCATGTGCTTCTGCTCCTTGCCCGGCGAGTCCCTGCTGATGTGGCCCACCACAAAGAGCGAGGCGGGCAGGCGGATGGCCGGGCTGGCCAGCACACTCCCCCAGAGGGCAGCATAGAACACCTCTTTGCCGACCACCAGGGACAGTCGCAGGAGCAGAGCATCTGTTCTGTGGACAAGAGATCACAGAGTTTCAGGGCTCCTTCCCCACGTGCCCACGTCTCACTGTGCTGCTCCAGGAAGAGCCCCGCTCGCTCTCCCTGGCCATGGAAATCACTATTCTGAGCTGTTGCTCTCTCGTCTTTCTGTGTTTGTTCACCTGCCACTGTCACTGCTAAAACACACACTTCCTGGGAGCTACAGCTTCCTGGCCTACAGGCAGCATGTGACAGGCCATGTCGCCACAGCACCCAGGTCACCGCAGCATCCAGGTCACCGCAGCACCCAGGTCACCGCAGCACCGAGGTCTCCGCAGCACCCAGGTCACCACAGCACCCAGGTCACCGCAGCAGCGAGGTCACCGCAGCACCAGGGTCAAGGTCATCGCAGCACCAGGGTCAAGGTCACTGCAGCACCCAGGCCACCGCAGCACCAGGGTCAAGGTCACCACAACACCAGGTCAAGGTCACCGCAGCACTAGGTCACCGCAGCTATGCAGCTACTGCACAGGATCTTAACAAAGGAATCTGGCCAGGAGCAGTGTGCAGGCATCAGGGGTTAGAAAGCCAGCGTGAACACTAAGGCCTAACACTGGCCCAAATCCCCATTCCTCCGGTTCTCTAACCAGCACAAACCAGCAACAGACACTGTGGGTCACCCGCCTGCCTGAGCCCCAGCCTACCTCACCCCTTGCATTTCCGCCAACATGACCCCGTGACCCACCACACCCCGCTCATGTCCTTGCACAGTGCTTGCTGGTGGTGTCGGCTCAATTCCGGAGAACTTTGAAGAAACAGCTGCCAAACTCTCTCACACAGACAGGGATACAGTGACAAAAACATCTTGTGCGATCGCCTCAATTACTGTACCCAGACGTCCGGTCAGAGATTCTAGAACCCTCGCCCAGCATTTCCCTCGGAGAGCTGGCACTGAACAACTTCTGGGGCTGCAGACACTGGGCTTGGCTTCCTGTCCCAGCCCATCTACTCAGTGACCCATGCAGCTTTAGTCGCTCTGGGTTCAATGTCAAGAAACCACAGTGTTAGGAAAAAATAGTGAACCCCCATTTCTCAACTAAGAGAACACACAGAAACACCCCAACTATTGACACCCTTCTGTCATTCACTCTGACAGATTTTTTTAAATGCAGGCCATTTTGGGAACTGGTGTTCATCTGTCAGATAATGGAAAAAGCACTTGCACACACACAGACATACATGCACCTGGTTGGTCAACATGAATGAGCCAGAACCTCTAGGAAAAGCCTGGGTCTAGGAATCAAGAGACAGAGTCTGGTAAAGGTCCTCTCGCTGACCCCTCTGTGACCTTGACCTTTCACCTCACCATGGGCAGCCACCGGGCATGGTGGTCAGGCTTTGAAATGGCAGGGAGCCAGACTGCCTCCTAAGGCAGTGGATCCAAGTGACCCCACCCACAGTACACGTGATTCTCCACCAGAACAGAGAGCTGCACCCGCCCACTCCATGTGACAGCTGGAAACGGTCAGGCTTACATTCCTGGTGGGCTGTCAAATCCCACACTGATCCTGGTGACTCAAATCACCCTTGGGCACTAGCACCCTCCCTCACGTCGTTTATCACTTGGTTCCCTTGGCTAGCAGACCCTGTATCGATTCCTTGATTCCACCCCTGCACGCCCACCACCCCCCCCACCCCCGCCAGGGCAGCCCCAACACCAAGGCAAAGGTGGGGTGAGTAGGGACTGGCGTGGAACGAGTGGTGGGTGTGTAATCACATGACAACTGTTGCCAGCCAGAGGTTTCTAGGCCTCCCGGTCGGGCTGCACGTGGGCCCTGAAAGCGATCACATGAGCAGAGGCTGCCTGCTCTATTCATGTGGGAAAGCCTCCCATCAGTTCTCCAGAGAAGCAGGACACCGTGTACACTCCGCAGTCTGATGGGTGTCTGCTCTCTCCCGCCGAAGCAGGGACGGAAACGCCTGCCGTGTCAGCTTCACAAATTTCTCCAAGTGCTGCTGAAAGCGTCCAGCCAGCCTGCTAAGCATCACCTTTTCACGCCCTGCCCAGCAAGGAGACCTGGCCTGGCTTTCTTACTGGCAAGCAGCCTAGTGCGGCAGGAAGGACTCAGATCTGCCATTCGTGGGTCAGAACCCCATCACTGTCACTCGGACTGAGAGACCCGGAAACCTTTCCTTCCTCCCCACCCGTAAAAGGAGGTGTTCCCAGGAGAACACGGTACTTGGTCAAGCAGAGACCAGACCAGATATGTACACGGTTGGCCCTACTTCCACACCTGGCCCTGCTCCGTGCATCTCTGCACTTTCCCCCAGATTCTCCCACAAGACACCAACGGCTTGGCCCATGACAGCCTGGACGGGCGGAGCCGCGGTGCACTGAGACCCACCTGTCGTAGATCTCCGAGCCCTCCTCCAGGCCGGGCAGCAGGCCGATGACGAAGGCCTGGAGACTGGGCAGGAGCAGCCTCTGCAGTGGCAGGAAGTACTTCTCATACAGGCCCAGCAGCACGGGCCGCACCGACATGGCCGCGTGTGCCAGGAGCGGGAACAGCCCACAGCTTGGGGGAGAAGAGATGAGAGGGTGAGTGAGACCCACTCAGGAGTTCCAGATGGGCCCGCCGGCGTCCAAGCTGGAGATGCAGAACCCTGCCTGTCCTGAGATGGTCAGGACGCACTGCCAGCACCGAGGGGGCCACGGGCCAGCACGCACCCACACCCTTAGAGAGACGCCTGGAGGACGGGCTCCGGGAGGTGAGCCCTCGTCTCCTGGTGACCACTGCACACCCCTGAGCTCTGCAGTTTGTCACTCACTGATCTTGTGAAGGAAACACAGTCACCTGGATGATAAGGGCCTGGGGAAGCCGGCGTACCTGTACAGGAACAAATCCTTGGCCAGCCATTTGGTGCCCACAATTTTAAAGATGATCTCATAGGTTTCCAGGGCCTTCAGGTGCACCCCACTGGGCAGGGCAGGGTGCAGGCACTGAGCCAGTCTCTTGCTGATGAGGAGCCGTCGTGGCAACAGGGAATACTTCAGGTTGCTCTGAAGAGCCTGGAAAACAAGAGAAACGCACGAGGAAGAAGGTGATGATGACCATGGGAGACACCAGCAGGCCCAGGTGGCTGTGAGAGATGAGACAGAACAGGAGAACAGAGCGACTGGACGAGGGCCTGGGGCACCAGCCAGGCTCCAGCACACGATGCCGGGGACGCCCCCAATGCTGGGATGAGGCAGGCTCCGGACTCGAGAGCCAGGGAAAGCTGTCTCCCTCCAAGTGACTCACTGTCAGGCCACACGTGAGCACCTGTGCACGGTGAGGCGTGTGCTTCCCTGGGAAGGCCCCGTCTACACAGAGCAGGCACACGCATTCCACGTGGAGCGAGGCCACCTCCGTCCCTGGGAAGACTGCTCCCTGGATGCCCCTGGCCCTCTGTCCGGGGAGAGGCGGAGTCTGAACTGCCCCCCACAGCCAGGTGGTGCCGGAAGAGATGGGTGGGGACCCTCTCGGCTGTGTCTCCTGGCACCTTCCCCAGTCAGTCCTCAGCTGGGACACAGGGCCCTGCTGGCTCCAGGGCTGCGTGTCCCCAAGCAGGACCCGGGCCCTGTCTGTGCTAACGTATCCCTGGTGTGTGCTTACGGGGTGTGAGTGGTCAACGCCGACCATCCAGGCGCCAAGCACCATGGCCGGGTGGGTCCTCGTGACTCAGGCATGTAATACTGCGTGTCTGTCACTATGGCGGACGTACTCACACAAATATTTACTGAAGGCCGACAGGGTGAAGTCCACACTCCTTAAACTAGCCACTCGAAGGCCTCCACAGCACGCCTCCTGCCGCTTCAGCTTCACACCCTAACAACACAGCCCCTGCGGCCTCAGCTGACCCTCGTTGGCCCTCTGCCCGAAAGGCCTTCCTTCCCACCCCCTGCTGATTTCCTCACACGAAACCAGCTCGGCGCCCCTCGTGGAGGCAGAATGGTCCCCTCCCACATTCAGTTTCTCCTCCACTGGGTTCCATGTGCACGCCTGCCACCGACTTACAATGCTGTTCCAGCAATTGCCTGCCTAATGGTCTGACTTAGGCGGCCGGCCACTCAGAGGGAGCAGGTCTGTCTCCCTCTCTGCTGTCTTCAGCCCTCTGTGCCTAAGCACAGTAGGCTGCCTGGAGGAAGTGGCAGACTCGGGCAATGCCAACTGCACTCTGCCCGTGAGTCAGAGCCGCTGGCCCCGGACCATCTTAGGACACAACAGCTTTATAAACAAACAAAAAGATCCCACCTCTAAAATAAATACTGAGGCTTCACAGGAGGTAAAGGGATGAGAAGGAAAAGGGTATTTTTCATCAGAAGCCTATAGTCTAACTAAACTCTCAAGTTCAATAAAACTACATTTTTTTAAAAACTAGTGACCTGGTGCACAGATTCGTGCACACTGAAAGGAAATTAGAAGGTGGCCGATGGGGCGAGACTGAAGTGGCTGGGGGGCGGGACTGGCCAGCTGCACCTGGGGTGTTGCTGTGACTCAAAGGGCATCTGCAGAGTGAGCAGGGTCCCTCTGGCAGGTGGGGTCCCTTGGCCTGGCTTGCGGGTATCGGGCTGAAACCAGCTCTCAGACATCCCCCAAAGGGTCCCAGAGTGCGAGAGGGCACTCTGCAAAGTTGCTGTCGTACAGGGTGTGAAACACAAATCCAAGTGTGCAGTAAACCAGACAGTGCCCCAGCAGCAACATAACCCATGGCCAAAGGTAGAATTGCACGGCCCCGCGAGGAATCGGGCTCCCTTCTCTCTAGTTTTGGGGTGCGTCACCCAAGAACCACCGCTGCCAAGTCACTGCAGCTTGGCAGCTACTTGGCAGCTCCTGCGTTGAGTGTCTGCCCCCTGGTGGTCAGTGTGTGTCATAGCTACCGGTTGGACAAACACTTAGCATGTTAGCCTTTTATATACATAGATAGATAAGCTATTGTGGCTGAGTTGGTTGATCATCATCCTGTGCAATGAAAGGTTGCCAGTTCAATTCCTGGTTAGAGAATATGCCAGTTTCAGGCTCAATCCCAGATAGGGGGCTTGCAGGATCTATGTTCCATTCTCACATCGATGTTTCTCTCTCTCTCTCCCTTCTTTCCTCTCTCTCTAAAAATCAATAACAAATCCTTAAAAAATAGATAAACTAGAGATTTACCTTAAAACATTATTTTTCTTAAAACAAAGGTAAAGCCAACAGAATATTTACATGTGCTTATATCCAAAGAATCCCCAAAAACAAACAATGGAGGGAGGAGGTGATAGAAACGCATGCTGTTGGCTTTGCCTCCCTCATGCTCCCCTTCTGGGGCCGGGGATAGAGCCTGCAAACTGGGCACGTGCCCTGATGGCGAATCGAACCCCTAACCTCTCGGTTCATGGGATGACTCCCAACCAACTGAGCCACACCAGCTGGGGTCCAAATCTGACCTTTGCTCCGTGAGTTCTAAGGTCACCTGAGGTGCAAAGGAGACACCCAAGTGTCTGTTTGCCTCGGGCTGTGCCCACCGCTAGGTCTCATTTCTCTGCCCTCCTGAGCCTAGACGAAGCAGCTAGACTCACGCTGGCCAGTGAGGTGAGCGGGGTCACTCGTGGCACTTCCGGCACAGGCTTTAGAAGTCATATGGAATGAAAAATTTTCGCATCGTAGGACCGGAGTCGGAATCTCCAGGTGGAAATGCTCTCCGTGCAGAAGACTCGGAGTGCTCCCGGCCCTGGACTCCCCAGGCTGCGCTCCTGCTCCCAGTGACAGCACACGGAGGAAACAGGGTTTCGGCCCCCCTGAAAACACGTTCTGTGTGAGCAGCACTAAGCAGCATCCACAAAACATGCTTGATACAGAATACACCCAACTCTGGGTGTCATTAAGGAAAGGTGCTTTCTCCTCATAACCCTGTGCAGCTTGGGGCGGGGCCAGTGAGGGAGAACCAGCTGCTCCAACTGAATTTTTCTTCTCTCCCCACTCCAGCTGTTGCAGAGGTTCCCTCTCCCCCTGCCAGCTGTTGCAGCAGTTCACTCTCCCCCCTCCAGCTGTTGCAGAGGTTCACTCTCCCCCCTCCAGCTGTTGCAGCAGTTCCCTCTCCCCCCCAGCTGTTGCAGAGGTTCCCTCTCCCCTCCAGCTGTTGCAGTGGTTCCCTCTCCCTTCCCTCCAGCTGTTGCAGCGGTTCCCTCTCCCCTCTGCCAGCTGTTGCAGCAGTTCCCTCTCTCCCCTCCAGCTGTTGCAGCGGTTCCCTCTCCCCCCCAGTTGTTGCAAAGGTTCCCTCTCTCCCCTCCAGCTGTTGCAGAGGTTCCCTCTCCCCACTCCAGCTGTTGCAGAGGTTCCCTCTCCCCTCCAGCTGTTGCAGAGATTCCCTCTCCCCCCGCCAGCTGTTGCAGAGGTTCCCTATCCCTCCCCTCCAGCTGTTGTAGAGGTTCCCTCTCCCCCCTCCAGCTGTTGTAGAGGTTCCCTCTCCCCCTGCCAGCTGTTGCAGAGGTTCCCTCTCCCCCCTCCAGCTGTTGCAGCCCTGACCCTGCCTTTCTCCTTCCAGGCTCTGTCCCCTCACTTTGCTGGGAGGACCCTCTCCATGGAGAAAGGTGTAGAGCAGGGGTCCTCAAACTACGGCCCGCAGGCCACATGCGGCCCGCCAAAAACATTTATCCAGCCCGCTGGGTGTTTTTGCCGCTGCTGCCTGTCCTGCTTAGCAGCCGACCCGTGCCGGGCCCGCAGTACGCATGTGTGGAATGTCTGAGGGACAGTGAACTGGCCCCCTGTTTAAAAAGTTTGAGGACCCCTGGCGTAGAGCATGGTTCCATTGTTGGGGGAAGTTCCATTGTTTGGGTTGTGTTTTTCAGGAAACCAAAAACCCAAAGTGACTGGTCACTGAAAAATGATGCATATTAAAAACATTTTTTGAGACATGTTCTTCTACAACTATAGAATAAATATCTCAGGAAAACAAATTAATTGGGAAGGAAAAAAGGGTCATGTTTCCAAAATCACTTTTTAAACATCTAAACAGAAAGGAGAAACTATAATTAAACAGGAAATTAAACTTCCTTGTTTCTTTCGCTCATGGACTATACTAGTTTAAAAGTATTACTTGAGCTATCGTTAAGGCATAATTGCAATATTTTTAACCTCACCGGATTCATGGGCTCAGCAAAACAAAATAATAAAACACAAAATAAAAGTTTGAAAAAATAGGCTTGACCCACACCCGAGCTTCATTAACAGAGACCAGGAAGTGTCTTACTGGCTCCACCCAGACAGCGTCTGTCATGTTGATTTACTGTGACACAGTCTGACCCTCTCTGGGACTCGTAGCCGGTCCAGAACGGTCGTGGGAGAAACACCATAAAAACCCCAAAGGGTAGACCATGGGCTCAAAAAGTAATTAAATTCACTTAAAATGATTCAAAAGCTGATTCAGTAAGTTTTATGTTGTGCATATTTTACCTAAAATGGTTAAGATGATAAACTGTATGTGTATTTTATCACAATTTTTAAAATGTTAAAGGTAGTTTCACAACATGGGCGGGGGAACTGTGTGTGATTCTAAACTGTGTTAGCCTGTGAAATGAAATGGCAAATGTTCCCTTTCCCCATTGAGAGCCAAGCACCGAGTGAGGCTGACTCAGAGCGCCAGGTGCTCGTCGCCAGTTAAAAGCATCTCCATCAAGCAAATGGCACAACACCGCCTGGCTTCCTTCTGGAAGTCGGCCAGCTTTATAAGGATGCTCGTTTCCTGCCGTGAAAACAACGCAGTACATGAGTAAGACGGGCCAGGTGGCAGCGGCTGGAACACTGATTAAGCATTTGCCACAGGCCACCAGCAGTGCTCACCCTTCCAGAAAGAAGGGCAACAGAACAGGACTGGCCAGGGCCTCCCACATGAAAGGAGGCCAAACGCCGGCGCTGAGTGTGTCCTGCCTCCCCTGAAACGGCAGTGGCCTGGCCACCTTGCCAGGCTGGGTGAAGTGGGGAGTGACAGCTGGAGAAAAAGGCACAATACGGGCGGGGACTCACAGGCAGCCAGTGAGGTCAGCTCTTGTTTAACTGGGGGACTGACAGTGTTCAACTCCTCTGTAAACGAGGAGCTTCCTCCTCAGAAGCGTCACCGTCACCGTCACTGCACTGCAGCAGGGCCCCCGATCATCAACTCAGCAGGTTCCGACAGCCACCCCCAGATCCCAGGGGCACGGAAGCCCCGGCAGCAGCTCAGACAGCTGCGTTAGAATATACTGTTTCCTTTTTAAAACTCTTCTTTTGAATCCGCTTTACCTTGTCGCAGTGAATATTGACTTGCACTTTCTGGGCAAATACCAGGCCAGGCCGCAGAGGCGGGCACAGTGGTGGTGGACGTGCAGCTGGTACTAAGCATCTGGACGTACCACCTGCTGGAGCCTCGAGCCTGGCAGCTCACACTCACTTGGAGCAGTTCAGCTGCTGGCTCGGCTGTGGAAGGGGCGCTCTGCTGGTCTCACTCGGAGGAAGAACCCAGAAAGGCAATACCGGGGACACGATGGGGGACATGATGCGGGACACGGGGCCCACCTCTCATCAGCTGTGCAGCCCGTCACAGCGACCTGACCACCCGGCTTCGCACACAGAAAGAGTGCCGTCACCTACCATCAGCAGGTCGTGGGAGTGTCATTCTGTCTGCACTTGCCCAGTGTGTCAGGGTTAACAATGAACACCCGCACACACATACACACACGACAGGAGCGCCATGGCCCCCCAATCTCCTGGTTAAGATGACCGGGGAAGCGACACGCTGTCTCACAGACCACCTACAGCACGGGTTCCAATTCTGCTCTTTATTCTGTCCCTCCGGAATTTACTACAGCATGCAGACTGTAAAAGCCACTCACCCTCACCACGGTCACCCATGTTCCCCGCCTTCCTATGAAGAAACACAGATGGCTGGTGGCACGCTTTCCATGTTCCCAGACTTACATTTCACTCATTTCTCAGCTGCTCAGCACTCCCTGACATCCACACCCTCACCCCTGACACCCATGTGGGCCTCCCAGCGGCCCTGGCTCAGCTGAAATACTGCCCATGGGGCCGGGAGGCCTCAAGCAAGTCTGAGCCTCAGTGTCTCCATCAGCTTCTTGACCTGACCCTTGTAGACCACAGCACTGTTTCTATTTGCATTTAGATGTCTTACTTACTCATCACTGATTTACTCACTGAATTTCTGTGCTCATGCAGGAGTCCAAGAAATCTAACCATCACTACTAGTAAAGCCTTAAGAACATTCTTTATTCACATCAACTCCTAGCAAGTGTCCTTTTTAGTTTTCAGGTGTCCTTTTTATTTATTTTTTCAGGTGGCCTTGAATGCAGAGGCAATCACTAAGGCTTGCTCCCTCCAGGGCCCTCTCAAACCCCCTGTCCAGTAACTGATCTGGTGCTGACACTGCCCGCTGCTACCCGGACACTCCCAGGCTCGGGCTCACCCCCAGGCATCAGCCTGAGGGGTTCTCCTACCAGGTTGAGGCAGCAATCACCTTGCTCCAAACCTTCCTGGAAGCTCCATGGCTTCCTGCCCTCCCAGAACAAAACCGAGACCGGCCCTGGTACCTCCTCCCTCCACTCCTGTCACCTCTCAGCCAGCCACGCCCTCCCCCACTGCACCTTGGACCCAGGCCCAGGCCCCAGATGGCCTCCCCAGCAGCTCACTCACTGCATCCAGGCCTCTGCTCAAACCTCAAATGTCACGTTATCAGAGCCATCTCTGTCTAACCTGGCACCCATCCTCCTCCCTTCCTGGTTTTCTTTCCTCTTAGCACTGAGCACATTTCTGTTTGCTGTCCGCCTCCTGCCACCACCGCCCTGCGCCCTGAGAGTAGAAACCCCGTGTTGACTGCTGTGTCCCCAGCACCCAGGTGTTCATGCCTCGGTCCTGTTCCTGTATCAGTTTGCCAGGCCTGCTGTAACAAAGCACCACACAGCACGCACAGCAACAGAAATGTGCCCTCACAGCCTGCAGGGCCGAAGTCCAAGGTCCCGGGGTGGGCAGGGCTGGCTCCTCCCGAGGCTGCGGGAGGCTCTGCTCCAGGGGCCTCTCTCACTCTGGAGTCAGCTGGCAATCTCCGGTTCCTCGGCTCATCGTTGCATCACCCAGCCTCTGCCCTCATCCTCACATGGTGCCTTCCCCACATGCGTGTCTGAGTCCAGATTTCCCCTTTTTACAAGGACACCAATCACACTGGATCAGGACCCACCCTAAATGACTTCATTTTCACTCGATGTCCTCTGTGAAGACCCCATCTCCAAATGAGGCCACCTTCTGAGGTACTGGGCGTTAGGACCTCAATTTTTTTTTTTTTGAGGATATAATTCAACCCATAAAAACACAGCCACGTGACATTGGGCACGTGAATCTTCACCAGTAAAACAGGGCTAATAATTGCAGCCACCTCGCTGGGAGGATGAAGACAGTGCCCCTCACACAAAGAGGTGAACCCTGTCCCTTCTGTGAGCCTCGCAGGCACGGACATGAAAGAAGCTCAGGCGCTGGGCTCTGCAGCCAGGCAGCCAGGGTCTGAGTCCTCCCTCTGCCACTTGCTGCCCATGACCTTCACAAGTTGCTTAGACTGAGACCAATGTCAAGACAGGCTGTGAGGATTACACAGTGACGCATGGCAGGTCCTCAGCACACGGTACGCTCTC